CCGTACTGTAAAAAACTTACAACGCATTTGTTTTTGGTGGTTTACGGTAAGTAGTGTATATGCGTTGTTTCTAAGTTTATAGGCTGGGTCTTGGGTGATAGTCGGGCAGGAGGTTAGAAAGGAGTGCCCATATATCGCTTTGTAGAGAAATATTAAATTGTTCTTTAGCCTACGGTGCCATAAAGGTTCTAAAGATAGATGCTTACATCTGTCTGTGTAATCGAGACTCGAGTTACATCCTAGCAGTTAGCGTGTGAAACGTCTTTGAATATCTTCTACTCTTATCTTGTCTGTGATATTCATATTAGAGAAGACAAAAGAGCAGTACTCAAGGGAGGGCCGTACACATATTTTGTAAATAGTAAGCTTAGCCTCTGTTATGAAAAAATTTCTGATTATGAAACCAATTAGCCGTCTAGATTTAGAAATAATAGAGGAGACATATTCTTCAAAGTTCAGGCTTCCTGTGTAATTAATTCCTAAATCGTGTACTGATTCCAGTGTTTGGACTCTACATTCATTTAAGTGAAGTCACGGTTTATAGGGATGCTTTCCAAAGTGCATGATCCCGCACTTGTTGAGGTTAAATGGTAATTGCCATTTTTCACTCCATATAGTTAAGTTATTGAGGTCCTTTTGGATCTGGGATGCACTTTCGCTTAGTGTCTCAGGCTTATAGCTGTATACTATTTTGAGATCATCAGCATATAAGTATGGTTTCCCAAATTCTATGGTGTTACATATATCGTTTATATACATAAGAAGAAAAAGTGGACCTAATACGTTTCCCTGGATGACGCCACTGGTGATTGGTCTAGGTGACGAGAGACATTCGTTGTATTTTACCATCTGTTTACGTTCTGTTAAGAATGAAGCAAACCATGAGTACAGTGGGTTGTTTATTCCGAATACTTTAGTTTGACGAGTAGCCTTTTATGTGGGACCTTATCAAAGGCTTTCTTAAAGTCTAGGAATAGGACTGATACAAGGAGTCCGCTGTCTCGTTTCAGAGTTATATCATTCAGGTAGTCTACTAGGCATGTATCGCATGATCTGGATCTAAGAAATCCATGCTGGGAGGTCGAGATGAGATTATTATTAAGTAGATGTTGGACTACAGCCGCCTTAACTACTTTTTCCATCACTCTAGATACCACTGAAGTTATGTTTATAGGCCGGTAATTTTCAACGATTACTTCAGGTCCTGTTTTAATTTTGGGAATGATATGTGTAGTTTTCCAGGCATTAGGGTAACACGCTGTAGAGAGTGATATCGTGAATAGTTTGAGAAACAAAACTCACATATCATCACCTCCGCGTTTTAGCATGCTAGATGGAATACCATCTTGTCCATCAGTGTAGGAGTGTTTCAATGTACTGATTGCCTTGGAGATATTTTGTACATTGAATTCTACATTAGTAATTTCACAGGGAGGTACTGAGATTGGTTCTGAATCACTAAACGGTTTTTCGTTAGTTAGTGAGAAACAAAAGTGTTCACTAAATAATTCTGTGACAAGTTTGGGATCTTCGTACACTTGTTTGTATTTAATGAATATACTCCCTCTCGATTTAGAACGTTTAAGTTTATTTTGGAGGAGTATGGTGAGTGCAGAGGAGTTATTATTAAGTTCAACTGCACGTGTTTCGTGTGCGACTGCTTTTTGTGTACTTATTGTCTCTGTTTGGACAAGTATTTCTGTTATCGTTACTAGAGAGGAAAAGTTATTTAAGTTGTAGAATCGAGTACAATGTCTTTGAAGACGTCTTCTTCTACTGACCGGTATATAAAGAACTCTGGAAAACGTAGGTCTACAGTATTCTAAAGGTGCGATGTTGTTAATGATACTTTTGATGTTGTGATAAAATATATTGGTTAATGTGTCGGTATTGTTTGAAGTAAAGAAAGTTCTCCAATCTGTGCTTCTTAGGTGATTGTGGAAGTTATTCCAATCAACCTTGCGACAGCTTCTACGAAGTGTTACGGTTTTACGTCTACCGGTTGTAGTTTTTATGTTAAGGATGCATATGACAATGTTATGATCACTATCTGGGAACGTTTTTCCAATATAGAAAGTATTGGAGATGAGGCCACAAGTAAAGACTAAGTCCAAGATGTTTTGATGTCTAGTAGGGCTATTGACATGGCTTTAGTACATGGTTTTTTATTTTTCATTATTCTTGCTCAAAATACACTGTATCTTTCGGCAGTTACTGTTATAACTTGTGAACCTGTGTGCCCTATATATTGGATAACGCAACGATACCACCAATCCGAGAGTAGCGAAATTATCGATTGAACCAGTGACGCATAAAACACGTGCGAGCAGCCTAGAATCCTGATTGGTCTCGCTTCCTGTCTAGCCCAGCCAGTTAAGTCCAGAACACCAATCTCAGCCTCTGCAATATGATTCATTTATTTCAAACATACGCGGTTTATATATCAACTAGACAGACCACAGCGTACCATAAAATAGAAAATAACATTTGTACAATATTTAGCCAAAAGTGGTTGTGAATGAGGGAGATAGTAATTAATAGACAGGACATAACTCAAGAATAGTAAATCGTATAATAAAAGTTCATAGGTCAAAGTAAAACTCATAATAAGAGGGACGTGAATATGAACAGTTTAGTTACGCAACAATTATACGATAAAAATATGCGTATCGTATCCGTCCATAAATGGATCCCAAAAGTTACCATTCATTATTCTTATCGGGATATAACAGTTACGAATCAGGTCATAAAAGGAGATTGTCGCAAACTGAAGGCCACATATTTTACAACTGCCAGGTTTGCAATAATATAAGGTTTTGAGTAACATTGTTTTTTAATATATGTTTTTATTGAGGAGATTCCTACCCTGTCTTCTTCCTTCTAGATGACATGTATGCTCTGTGAGACAAGACGTTTGTGTGAAACTGAACATTTGTTTCTTGTAACTATATTTCCTGTTGACATGTAAATATTTTATAAGGGTAGCGGAGTAATTCTTCATGTTTGGCTGTTTTTTTATCAGTTTCTCTTCCGAGTTACTTTTTACTTTAGGATGGCCCGAGAGCCGAGCGATAAAACACGTGATAGCTGGGAAAAGCATAAGAAAGTCGTACCTCACCAGGATGGTGCTAGATAGCTCTTTTGCAATAATTTCTCAAATTTTCTTGTCCCATATTTTCGTCTTCTATCCTCTCCTTAGCTCTTATTCTCTAATAATAAGTGATGTGAGATGAGTTGCTGTAAGTAGATAAATGCTATGAAGAAAAGATAACATACTATGAAAGTATGTGATATCTACAGTCGGCTTCCGAATATTAGGTCAGTGGTTGTCATTTAATTAAATATATTGAGGTAACGTATGGTTATTTTCCATTAGACTGGGTTCTTTGGTCTCCCTCTTCTCCTTTGGCCTAGAGGATTCCATGTGAGGGCCTGTCCTGTACTGCACTTGCGTGCTTTCCTCAATGTGTGTCCTTTCACTTCCAGATCATGAAAGGCCTGGAATTTATTGCTGAGGGCTATCTTAAATTTGTTGAGTTTGTCAGTATCCCGAACCGACATGTTTCTTGTGAATTGATCAGATTAATAGTCTTATTGAGATGGATTGTAGGAGGAGTGGGAAAATACAATAATATAATTCTTTTGGAATCAATTACTCTCAAGAGGTTGATCTCTGCTACATGAAATAGGAACTTCATATTATTTTATTTGCAGGACTTTTTCTGATAAATACGTTTGAGAAGCTACTTATTACGTTCAGCCAATCTGCGTTATCACAGTATCTAGATTAACATTAAACGAAAGCAAACTGGGTATTTTAGAAGATTTTGTTTTGTTCATAAATCTCAAGTGACTTTTCCCATAACGTTTTGCATAAAAATCTTCACGTCCGATAGAATAATTGTCAAGGAAGATGTGTACTGAAACTATTGACCCTAATCTAGTTCTGCGAAGATGACATTAACTGGCACGTGTCCATTTGGTTTGGTTCGTTCCTAAACGTCGGTTCTTCGTTGATGATTGTATAAGCACTGTGGCGAAGTAATAAGACAATGCGGAAACCATACAAATAGAAGAAAATGTTCCATTAATTGCTTTCCTACTCCCTATATTCTCTCCGCATTTCGATTTCAGTGACAATTGATTTTTTTATTACAGTTTTGAATTGTTAAAGATTATCCTATTCGTAAGTCCAACCTTATTAGTAGCCTGCATCTTCAAGTACTGTATGAAACGAGCAGTTCAAGACAAGATCTTAGTAGCAGTAATAGACTGTATGATGGATACTTGGAAACAGAATTTTTGAATCAAAGGCTAGTAACTCACAATATGATTCTGTAGTTTCAGTTACCGGTTGCCGCTAAGATCTAAATAACACAGGATGGGGATAGAGTAACATAATTAGTATAAAAATCATGAGAAACATCATGATAAAACAGAACTTTAGCATTGAAAAGTAATAACCAGATAAAAATTAACTTTATACGCAACATTTGTGTTAGTTCATGACACTAACTACTGTGAAATGCTGGTATTCAACATGTTGTCATCACTTGCTCGCCATTGAACTCACACAGATGTTTGTTACAGTCCCGTTAATTTATAACCTGTCTACGAATAAATAATATCACGAATAATAGTGAATCACTCTTACGAATGAAGAACATTCATGACTGGATGGGGTACGATGTGTGGATAATTTTCAAACCGTTCAGCTGAAAAAGTGACACACCATGAATCTCAAACACTTTGAAGTTTCGATCGATCTTCTACATATTGTTACCTTGCTTGACTTAATGCTATATTTCTTACTGGACGCTTTTCATTAAGTATGTGTGATTGGTCTCAGATGGTTTGTTTAACCCTGTTGCGTAGAAGGTTATTCTTGTTTTCGCGATAACTTCGAAACTCAGCACATTTATCGCTCATTACTTAGATCCATATATTTACACTGTCAGTCAGAATTTCAAGTATCTAAGTAAATATTTTAACCGACACTAATGACGCGATCAGAAACAAAACTGCCGACAGTTGATCGCATTGTCACAAGTGAGAATGTTTATAATTTCATTTGTTCTTTCATTTGACAATTTATGGATGGAAAATCTATTTTTTCTTCATTATTATGAATAATAAAAAAATATAGTTGGAATTATTAGGATGTGGCTGCAACTTAAAGAGGAATACCTTTGGGTTCTTGTTGGACTTGGTACTCTAATATTTAACATACCTAACTTTGGCACTGATAGATAAAATAATTTAAGTTGTGTGTTATTTCCTACCTAAATGAAAAAGTTTTTTGTATTACGCCTTTTACTTACCTACAGAAGGCTGAGAATTATGTACATTGCCGTATCTGTGAATGGTGCCTAATATCTTTTTGTAATAACGGTTCTAGCAAATGTTTCAGGGGTTAATATAGATGAGATTATAATTTATGGACTTCTTTTGAACGACACTGAAAAGATCTTGAGAATGTCCACCTACATACTATGGCCAAATCAGGGTTATAAACCAATGTGAGGAATAAAGATTAATATTTACATTTGATAGTTAGGGTTAGGAATTAGATTTAAGGTTTTCATCTTGAACTGACATAATTTATAATGCCAAAACTCTATTTAACTAAATGGATGAATTGATTTTGCGCCGCACTTAAAGACCTGTTATCCTAGATCTAATTGGTTCGACCGTAAATTATAGTCTCACCGGCTAAACTATTCTTGTTTAATATATTCGGGATTTGTATCCCGAGTTAGTGGCTGTTTAATTTAGAAAAGTTACGTAGTTGCGATTCAAGCTTCTAATTTCATACATGGGTTTGAAATGTTTTTAGACTCGGAGATTGTCCGAAAATCCTTACTAGCTAGCAATTAATTAAGCGCTTATTTTTTAATAAGGCGTTTAAAAACCCCCTTAACTGATTGAATTTCAAATTTTTCAGTCAAGGCATCTCACTAAGATGTTCATCGTAGGAACAAATACATAAAACTAAATATACTTGTGTGCTAATATAGTATCTCAGTAAACCTATTGTAGTCCATGCATTTGATTTGTTATGAAATTTGTTGATAATATGTATTGACATGAATTAATCATACATTTTTCAAGTTTCCAATCTACTTGTTCTGCTTTACTATCTTGGAAATGTATAGGACTCTGAGAGTAATTATTACCTGCCTAGAGTTTTATATTCATGAGTATATTTTTCACAAAACTCGGGAAGTTATAACGTAATTGTTGGTCAGGTTTTTTCTATTCTTCACTTGTTAAAATGCCGCTAAAATAACTCAGACTTGTAATATTTTTCGAATAAAACCATGTTATTTAGTTTGCTCTTGTTGGTTTTTACGAAGTCTCTATGATTGGATATTTTTTTCGTTGTTTATCTGGTACTGATATCTTAAGGTTATTTAACCTGAGTTTCAACATGACTAGAACATCAACTTCCCTGCAATCTACGTTGTTTACATAGTTTTTTTAAAATGTTTCATGCCAATGGCTGTAGGTGCAAACTATTGACTTAGAAGAGTGATTTGCTCAACATTTTGTTCCGTAACTCATGGTCTGGCATTCTGGTTTTCATGCGTTTATGGAATGGGAAAAGTACTTGAATTTGTATTATCATTTCAAAATGAGAGGAAATCATTTATTTGTGATTGACAATTAAATGTGCTAAATAATTATCTTTGCTGTTTCATAAACTTACTGATTTTTGGTTTGTTCAAAGCTGACAAGATGTGTTTTAAAAGCAATACGATTAACGTATTATTTAATTTGAATTTGTGAATACCTTTTATAATGAATTTTGTTCTTGTGGTAAGACTCTGAACTTTACTTCTAATTCGTTAAAAACGAGAAATCGAACGGTGTTTGTAGCAGAGAGCCTTATATCATCTCAAAGAAAGATGTTTGACATTTGAGCCATCATATAAAATTAAATTGTTGTCGAATTACCTATTTATAATGTTACGGAATTTATTTTTTCTCATTGATGTTCCTGAAGAACTCGGATATAGTAATTTAACAAATGGTAATCGTGTTCTGAGACAAATAGTTCATGCATTATGTTTTAAGTTTATCTTACCTGTGAAAGTTTGGTTTCTGTTGGTTTTATCACTCAGTCAGTCAGTCAGTCAGTCAGTAACAACGTAGAACTTCGTACGTACGTACATCAGTTCGAGTTGCCACACCACATTAGCACAAAGATGCAGTGGTCGATTCAAATCGTGTAGTGCTAGAGGTAATAAGAGTATAAGCAGTAATCGTGAAGATTAGGGTTTGGAGATGTTATTTAAAGAGTATAATCCAGTGAAATAAATTTCCAAAGAGAAAAAAGAGACAAGGAGGAATCAGGAGATTAAAATTTGGGAGAACACAAAGAGTGGATGCACCGGCACCATTGCAAACGATTTTGAGCCATGTCATTCAAGGTCTCTAACCATCGGTTGCTATCATCTCGCGGTCCCCAACCAGGTAGGCTACACCTACCAACATGACTCAGTCTACTTGTCAGTGACTTCATGAACTTGTGCCATGTTTTGGTCTGGCCGCCCCTAGCTTTCTTCCAACCTACTCCTATACCACTGAACATCACACGTCGAGGCAGTCGGTGGTTGTGTTGTGCATACGTAACACATGTCCCAGCCATCTCAACTGATGAAGTTTCACTTCTTCATCAATGGATTTACCGTCCTTACCTAATACCCGTTTCCTAACAACTGCACTACTTACTCGATGGTCCCAGGATATACGGGCAATATTTCGAAGACACCTATGATCAAATACTAGTTATCTACGAATATCCTCTACTCTTACCGGCCATAATTCACTGCCATAAAGTAATGATAATAATAATTTTATTCTCAAATAACAGTTTGTTACATGAGGCAGAACGAACTGCTGCACAGTAAACCCGTCTTTTGGTTGATAGACAGGTATCTCGCCTACGCCATAAGTGACGCAAGTTGGTAAAAGCTAGTCGAGCCTTCTGTATCCGTGTTGAGATTTCGTCACACATCAGACCACAATGGCTGATGAGACTTCTAAGATAAGTGAAGCGATCGACACGCTCAACTACTTCACTCCCTATCATTAGTTGGGGTTTCGATGCAACCCAATACTGAAGCAACATTTTGCATTTCGAGGGGGAGAATCGCATTCCGAACATGCTCGCATTGTCGCTTAGAGTGGTCAGAAGACTCTGCATTTTGTCAGCGTCTTCACCAAATAAAACTATTTCATCAGCATATTCTACGTCAACAAGTGGACCTCCCGCTAGAAGTTTAACCCCTGGAAATTTAGACGAGGAAAGTGTTATCTCTAAAAGTACGTCAATGACAAAGTTGAACAAGAATGGAGAGAGTGGACAGCCCTAACGAACACCACTTTAAGTAATCAGTTCTGATGACAGTTCGCCATAAGCTCTCACTCGACCAGTTGTGCTCGAGTAGAGAGCCTTTACAAGGTTAATGTACTTCTTTGATACTCCTTTCAGTGACAAACACTGCCATAGAACCTCACGATCTACAGAGTCGAATGCCGCCTTAAGGTCGAGAAATACTACGATTGTGGGGCGTCTGGATGTGTGTCTGTATTCTAGAACCTGACGTAGTGTGAATATCTGATCTATACAACCACGTCTAGGTCTAAAACCGGCCTGGTTTTCTCTAATCTGCTCTTCACGAGCTTTGATTAGGCGTCGAAGTATTATTGAGGCTTATATTTTAGACACTATTAGTCAAACTGATTCCTCTGTGATTGTCACAAGAGGACTTTTGTCCTTTCTTATAGACTGGCACAATCAATGATTGAGACCAGTTAGATGGGATTACGTCCAGTTTCCAAATTCTACCTAAGACCTCGGTTAATCTCAATGCTAATACTGGACCACCATCCTTAAAAATCTCAGGAGTAAACCTGTCAGGGCCTGCTGGTTTTATCACTACTGTTTTTTATAACTCTATCAACTAGTTTTTTCTGCTCTAAATTGTTTCAGAGTGAACCTTATTTATCCACCGTACTAACTATTTAGATGCTCAGGCAGATATACGACAGGGTCTGCAATTAACCAACGTTGTTAAAAATACTTATTTCATAGTCATTGCCAAATTGTTGTGTGAACTATGATATTCGTTTCTCTAGGGATTTTATTTGTATTTTTTAAGGAGATCTATCAAGTGTTTAGTTTTTTCTTAATGTAAATAATTTATGATGCTATGTTTATAGTCAGATGTGTTTCGGACGATAAACGATCTTTGTCTTTTGTTTATTGAACACTGCATTCAATACTTCCGTAAAATTTTATAATCCATTCTGGTCTACCAGAGTAATCATTTGGCTTTTTGCTCGTATCATTATTTTCTCTTGACATATATTGTCTGTCCAACAAACAAACGAATTTAACTATTTAGGGAAACTGTAAAAACCTGTAAAAAAAACTGCAAGTCTATCAAATGTTAAGTGCCGTTTATAAAAATAACATATTAGAGAAAAGAACCTTTTTAAATGAACCGAACGTTTCATTTAGGACTATTAAGGCCGGATGAATGGTGCAAAATCAAGACGACCGTCAACTTCCCGAGTGTTGATAAAAATTTCTAACTTGTGCAGTATATCTATTTCTTTCCATCTGCTAATTTACTGTATGAATGATTAATAAGGAAGAGAATCTGGGGGAATTGTCTGTACACACGACTGTAAGAAGACATTTGCGGTTGAGAAAATTGTATAAAATTACATGGTGTCTGAAGAACACAACAATGTAAAAACAATGTAAAAAGATGAAGTCAGTCGACAAATGGTGTGTATTTAACAAAATTAAAGGTGATATACTTTAAAATTTAAGAAATGAAATCCTAACGATCTTTGTTCGTGAATTTATTAGATAAGTCGTATATAGTGAATACTTTTATTTAGTCCTTCAGTTGGTACCGATTGTTCTATAGTTTGCGTTTTACTTCAACTATTTTTCAGGCAGATTGTCACAGTAGTTTTTACGTAAAGGTGATAATTTTATTAATTTTAATTGGAAAATTAAATCTTTGAAA